GCGGCGGCGGGGGCAGCCCGAGCCCGGGCCGCGGCCACAGCAGCAGCAGCAGCAGCAGCCTCAAGGCCAGGTAAGGGAGACGCGGCGTCCGGCCCGGGTCCCATTGTTGTCGGGAGCCCGGGCCTGGGCAGCGGCCGGGCCCGCCCTTTAAACGCCCGTCCCTGCCCGGCGTGGCGCGTGTGCGCGGGGGTCCTGGAGCCGGCCCGGCCGCCAAGCGCGGCCCCTGCGGGAAGGGGCGGGAAGGCGGGGCCGGCCCGGGGAGGCCGCCGCCCGAACAATGCTGCTGGGCCGGGCCGCAGCGGGCCGGGGTCGGTCAGCCCCGCTCTGCGGGCGCGTTCGGCCCGGGGGCCTGCAGCCGGCCGGGAAGTCCGGGGCCGAGGCGGCGACCCTCCCGGCCGGTGCCCCGGGCAACTCTGTGTGGCGCCCAAGCTTGGTGTTCTGGGGACCCGGGGTAGGGGTTCGGGATTGAATCTCCGCTGCTGAAGCCTTTCGGGCTGGGCATGGTGGTGTGGACGGTGATCTCACTCTCGGTTTATCCTCTCCTCCGGTCCCGGTTTGCATAGGGATGAGACAGATTGGACTTTCAGTGCCAGTTAAGTAGCTGTTGCTTTGTGTACATACATTTAATTTACAAAGTTAAATTAGTTTCTTTTCACTGAGTATCAGTAATTGGGAAAATTTTTGTGATGCCTTTGTGTATTACAAGTTTTTTTCTGACAGCAAAATTAGGCTGAATTGTTAACTGTTGTAAATGCCCTTTTTCCTTTTAACAGAATCATTCTTTGAAGCTTCAGACTAACGTCTACTTTTGACATTTACCACTGAAAGTTTTTTTTTTAAATGCACAAACATACACATAACCTGGGTTGATCTAGTTATAAACCTGTTTTTAAAGGTTTTTCTTATTAATGGTTTTGGTTTTTTTATGTCCTCTCCCTTTGTGTGTGTGTGTGTGTGTGTGTGTGTGTGTGTGTGTGTGATGTTTGGGGGGGAGAGTTGTTTTGTTTGTTTGGTCTGAGCTATCACATTCTAAGATAGAGCAAGACTTTTACCTGCTTTGTTAATGTCTCATGTTAGGATCAGGCCATCTGTATAGGGCTCTGCATCTTTCTTAATTGTACCTTAATACATCTTTTTTTGTATCCCTAACTTCCTGATAGTGTTATAGTTTGAACTTACTATAACTTAGTTTTAGAAATGAAACGTATATCCTGTCTAACAATACATACTGCACTAGATTTGTTTTTTTGTGCTTCCTTATTACTTAGTTTTAAAAGCCTGTGTCCTATTTGACATAAGGACTATGTATTTGCTGAATCCCTTTGTGAAGATTTCTGGGGAGAGTGCAAATTAGCACCAGTTGTAATGATGTAATATGGATACTTATCCACAGGGAATTAGATTGTCTATCACCTTGTTTCCCATAACTCACAAAATAGCTGACAGATGGTAATGATAGACAATTGTTATCAATCTGGGGTAACAACTTTACTTATGTCATTGAACAGTCCTGAAATGTGACATTTATAGGCAGCTTGGGAAACAGTGGAGCATAAAATTCATTTTATCTAAAATAGCTTCGCCAAACATAAAATGCTTCACTTTAATAGTGGAAAATTAAAAGTCTAATGGAGAAACCAACCTCTTTTTAAAAATGGAGGCTTGTAGACTATTATTCTAGAGTTCAGTGCACCCTACCTAAAAAGTTCAGGGGTAAGACTTGGCCACATATTAATGTCTACCCATTTGAGTTGGGACTAGCTAATTTTAGGTACCAGAATTGAAATTTTAGATAAATTCACAACACTGCCTTTTCTACACTCAGATAAAGTGGAATATTGAAATATTGGTGTATTAGGAATTTTTTAGTGTCTTAGCATTTTTTAGAGGCAAAGTAGGTGTTGAACCAGCTGAATGCAGGATTTCTGTTCACTTCTCTACCAGATATTTGTATTTTGTGTAGATCAGGAAGTGACAGGTTGAGTTTGCCTAAGTGATGAAAGGTGATGTATTTTTATTTGAATGTATGCTAGAGAGTGGTTGAATGGAAATGATTTGTTTCAGATCCAATTTACATTTGTTTCCTACCTCCTTGAACTGAAAAATGTTCCTACTCATCCTTTTTGATGCTAAAGAGCATTTACTAATTTTTTTTAAAAGTCCACTGTGATAATGGGAGTGTGTAGTATGGTTAAAAGATTGGAAAGCCTCCATTGTATGAAGTTTTATAATTCAGGTCTCCAAACCTATGAAAAGGGCCGGATTTTTATACTTACCATAAGTATGGACAATTCCCAACTTATGTGTTGTGTTCTAACGTTTAATTTAGTTATTTGTAAGTAATTTTCCCCCACAGAAAGTTTGTAAGTGGTGATTTAAGTTTCCAGGAAAGCTTACAAATGTCCATTTAATCCATAATGTACACAGACTAGTAGTAGCTAATGACCATATTACTTAGATGGGAAAATATTCCTGATAACAACTTAAGACCCTGAAGACCACGTTTCTTGATATTGTCCTCATTGTAGATACAGGGACTACTTCTTTCTCTTTACTCAGTAACAGGACTTCTGAATTTGGGACTGGAATTCAAGAGAGGTCTAGGAGTTATTTTTGCAGAGGAGTAATATTTGTTAATTTAGTGACAGTAGATAAAAATGAGGCGATAGGAGTTCAGTCAGCACAGAGGGGAGAAGCCAAGAGGATTGAGTGTTCCTCAGTGTGGTAGGAAGGGAAGAGAAGGGCATAAGTAAGGTCTTGAGGGTTTTACTGGGGACAGGGATCTTGGGTAACTGTAGTAGCAGCGGCCAGGAGTTCCTTAGGGATGTAAGTTTCAAGCATTTCTGTGAGGGATGTTTGAGTGGAGAGGAATGTGGACAATGAAGGTAACAGGCTTGCCTCTGCAAAGATTGCCTCTCTAATTTTTAGGCACTCCTTATCTACTGGCTCCTCCCCTGTTGCCCATACATATGTCCCTGTCTCCTTTAGTCTTTAAAAACCTTTACTTGACCTTACCATCCCCATAAACTATATTTTTTTTCCTTTTCTTGGCTACTCTCATAGAAAATACTTCCTTTCACTTCTCAGTTTGACTTCCAACCTTAATCACTCCACTGAAATTGCTCTTCAAAGTTATCAATGATCTTTTAATTGCCAAATCAGCTGACCTCTTCATGGTCCTCATCCTTCTTGACTTTTCTGCAGCATTTGACATTACTGACCCCTTTCTCCTGCATTGGATCTCTTCTGACTGTTCTCATACCTGTCTAGCCCTTCCTCAGTCTTCTTTGCTGGCTCATCATCCATCATCCTTATCCCACCCCCATGCCCTGTCATAGGGCTTCTTTTCTCCCCTTTCTGCTTCTCTAGGTGACCTCAGCAGCTCCCATGGGTTCAATTATCATCTTTATGCAGATGAGTTCTAGCTCTATGTATGCAGCTCTTAGCTCTCTGCAGAAATGCAAACCCTGTATCCGCAACTGCTTATTGGACATTTTCCAATTCAGTGTCTTGTAGGTATCTTCAACTCCACATGTCCAAAGCACAACTTGTTATATTTTCTTCAAAAGCCTCGCCTTTTCCCTAACTCTTTTATTTCTGATTGTCACCACTGTTCTTCCAGTCACCCAGTTTCACAACTTTGCAGTCATCCTCGACTTTTTTCTTTCACCTTCCCCTAATCCAGTTAGTTGCTAGGACTTGTCAATTCTACTTCCTCTAGTTTCTTTCTTTGTCCTCTTTTGTCCACTTACAGCTGCCACTCTAGTACAGGCTCTTACTATCTCTATCCTGGACTATAGCTGCCTAATTGTCCTCTCTCTCCTTTCCAATCCATCTTCCATATTACTGCGAAATTGATTTTCTTAAAGCACAGGACTGACTATGTCATTCATTCCCTAGTACAAGAGGCTCCAGTGGCTTCCTATTACCTGTGATAAAATACAAATTTCTCTGTTTTTTTCAAATCCTTCACATTCTGCCTCTAAGCTGCTTTTCTAGGCTTAGTGAACATTTCTCTACATAATGACCATACTACATCTTGCTCACACCTTATGACCATCTGTCTCCTGTTTCTGGTCCCCCGTGTTAGAAATGAACTTCTTCTTCACCTATTGTTACATAGAACTCCTAGTTCCCCCCAAGCTCATCTCTAGTGCCACCTCTTCTACCAGGTCCTGAGTGGCCAGTGCCTTCTTCCTTGTGCCACCCTCCCACCCCCTTGCTTGGTATTTACTTGTGTGTGTTAATGTTGTTTCCCTCTGTTGGAGCATAAACGCTTTAGATAGGGACTATTTCATTTTTGTCTTTGAATCCAGAGCGGCTAGTACTGTCCCAAACACATGGCAGGCACTTGTTTAAAAAATAAAACTTAAACTCAAAGAGCATTGGTGATGGTACCTGGAGAAGAGAAGGTGGGTGAAATCATGGCATTTCCTGGGCATACTTTTTAGGCACAGTGTTATAGAACATTGACACAGATACTCTGGGTTCAGATAATAGGATTTAGAGCTGGAGATCCCAGAAGCCATCTACACCAACACCTTGATTTTACAATGAGAAAACCAAAGCTTGGGAGGTTTAAGTGACTTGCCCAAAGTCAAACAGTCTGTCAACAAGCATTTTAAAAAGCACTTTTAACTATGCTCCAGGCACTGTGTTAAGTCCTGGAGAAAATAGTCCCTGTCCTTTATGTTGAATAACTAGGTACACAGAAGATAGAATAGGTGGAAAGTAATATCAGAAGGGAAGACACTGGCAGCTGAGAGGACCAGGAAAAATTGGCTCTAGAAGGGAGGAAGGGAAACTACAGGAAGATATTGTAGGCATGGAGGACAGCCTGGAGGTGGAGTGTCTTGTATGACCACTAGCAAGGAGGCTTTTTATAGGGGAATAAAGAGTAAGAAGATTAGGAAGATAGGAAGGACTGTATTGTGAAAGGCTTTAAAAGGTAAACCTCATTTTATATTTGATCCTGGAAATGCAGGAAACCACTGAAGATGGCCAGACCTAAGCTTTAGGAAAATCACCTTGACACCCTTAGCACTCAGTTGATGGGTCCATCCCTGGAGCTATCATCCTATAGTTCTCCTCTCTTTGGTGGCTAAACTTGTCAAGAAAGCCATCTATAATTGTGCCTCCACTTCTCCTCATTGTCGTCTCAGTTCTGCAGTCTGGCTTCCCTCCTCCTCATTCAACTGAAATTGCTCTCCGCAGAGTTACTAATGATCTCTTAATTACCAAATCCAGTGACTTTCTTCTTAATCTTTTTTCTTTTTGACCCCTCTCTAGTATTTGACACTTTAATCACCACCTTCTTCATGTTCTTTTCTCATGCTTTGAGGGTTTTTTTCTTTTAAATACTGCTACTCTCTGGGTTCTCCTCTTTGTCTGACCAGTTTTTTAGATCTTCATTCAGTTCTGTTTATTCCTAACCTCTCTCCTGACCTTTAGTGTCACAGCACAAACTGCCTCATACATCTTCAACTTAGCATTCCCCTTCTAACTTCACTCACAGACCCACCACTCTGGGGAAGGGCTTCTTTATCTCATGCTTGGACTGTTGATTGGCACTCTTATTGATCTTTCTGCTTTAAGCCTCTT